TGTCCAAAGGCTCAAGGACATATTGACATCTGAGACAGTCGCCCTGTCCGCGCCTTGTTTTAATGACGAAGTGGGACGACCCTTCATCCTAGAGACGGATGGAGGACCTTTGGTCGTGGGAGGTGTGTTGATTCAAAGGGAGGAGGGAGGAAAAGAGAGGCCGATTAGGTTCGAAAGTAGAACCCTGAACTCTGCAGAACGACGGTACTCGCAACTCAAGAAGGAAGTCCTAGCCATCCTGCGTTGCCTTAAGACCTTCCAGACCTATCTATTTGGGAGGCGGTTCATCTTAAGGATCGATCCGACGAATGTCGCAGGGGCTTTAAAGAATTACAGGCCTATGGATCCGACGGTAGGGAGATGGGTAGGATTCATCTGGCAGTTCGATTACAAGATCGAACGGATTGCTGGAATCCGCAACAAGGCAGATGGGCTGAGTCGGGTTTGCATCACTCCCGAAGGGATGGAGGATGCAGAGCCCATAAACGCATTCCTCGAATACGAAGGAGAGACTCTCGCGGTGGATAACGAAATGATGAGCGGGGAATGCACATCGGGAGAACTATTGATCCAGACCTTGGAGAAGGGGGCACCTGCCGTAGTAGCAGAACTTAGAGAAGGACCAGTTACCACTCGACGACGCAGAGAAGAAAAGGACTCATGGGGAGCGATAGTAGGACCGAAAGAGGAACTAATAACAATGGTGGTCAAGGGAGGCCGGGAAGCAGTAATGAGTTTAGTGGAATCTTGGGAAAGGAAGGAGTTGCAATGGGTGGTAAACCAGATGCAGGAAGGGAAGGATGGGGGCAAGGAAGGAGAGGAGTTTTTCTATGTCCAATCATACGAAGGGCTCTTTAGGGAGATTGGGCTGTTATTGGTAGGAAACAAACAACCTACGGAAGTCAGTATTAAAGCAAGAGAAGAAGCCGAAAGGTACGTCCTAAGGGGCGGGCATTTGTTCCGAAAGGAGGAAGGGGCTATGCCTAGAAGGGTGGTGTGCGGAAGATCTAGGCAAGTAGACGTTATCCAGGCAACGCACGATGGGTTGGCTGGGGGTCATCGGTCGTCCAAGGGAACGCTTGCAAAGATGACGCCACTCTATTACTGGCCATGCATGGCAGGCATGGTCGCCATATACTACCAGACTTGCCTTATTTGCCAAGAACGAAGCTCGGGGCGGGTCTTCGAGCCGCTTAGACCAACGCGGGTGCTAGGACCGGGGCATCTGGTCCACCTCGACCTTGCGGTCATGCCTGTATCAACGGATGGGTACAGGTATATCGTGGATGCGCGAGACAACCTGAGTGGGTTTGTGGAGGTAGTCGCCCTCAAGAAAACGACAGGGAGGAGTGTGGCGGACTGGATAGAAGACTTCTATTTGAGGTATCCGTTCGTCAGGAGGTTTATAGCAGACAATGGGACGGAGTTTGTGAACCAAGAAGTATTGGGGATGCTTAAGAGATTCTGCGTATCGATCAAACTCATCGAGCCGTATCACCCTGAGGCCAATGCACCTGTGGAAAGGGTGTGAGACCGATGGATGCGTAGAGGCGAGGGGGAGGACGGCTCTGCCACACCCCGATGACGCCATATAGAACCATTGCTTAGGGAAATAGTGCGTGGCCTAAGGATGACGCTTAGCCTACACACAAGAGAAGAGAAAACACTCAAAGAATCCTTGGACTGCCTGCGTATTGGAAGAAGCAATTGCATGAGAACACAACAAAGAATTATAAAAAAATCAGCGTTGCGGAACGACCAGCGAAACTACCACCCGCCGTGAGGGCTGAGCTACATCCCCAATGTCAAAGCTCTCTCGCGCGATGACCCACCCCCATCCATCTCAAAGCACTAGGTGGGGGTGACCCTGGGACGAATGGCGCGCGCCCTGAGCATGAGTGTGGGCGGGCCGAGCCGAGTGGGATCCGCAGCGGGGTCGACTAAGGTTCGAAAGTCTACCGGGGTTTGGCCCTACAACGGAAAACCGGACGGGCCTTGAAAATTGAATTTGTGAAAAAAACAATGAATCGGCGCGGCGCTTATTTCACGGTCAAAATGATTTTTTTCTTTTTTTCCTGATATTTTTCCTTGAAAGATCACAACTTAATCTACGGACCCACTAATTTTCAGGCGATTTGATGAATTCTTCTGAGCTACAAAAATCGCCAAAGTTACCGCTTGCAAATGGCGGGATTGGACCGGGCGGGCCACGAAAATTGACTTCGCGAAAAAAAACGAATCGTCCCGGCGCTTATTTCACGGTCAAAATGATTTTTTTTAATTTTTTCTGATATTTTTCTTTGAAAGATCACCACTTAATCTACGGATCCACAAATTTTCAGGCGATTTGATGAATTCTTCTGAGCTACAAAAATCGCCAAAGTTACCGCTTGCAAATGGCGGGATTGGACCGGGTGGGCCACAAAAATTGACTTCGCGAAAAAATACGAATCGGCGCGGCGCTTATTTCACGGTACAAATGATTTTATTTTATTTTCTTATATTTTTTCTTGAAATATCACGACCTAATCTACGGAACCTCAAATTTTCAGATGATTTGATTAAATCTTCTGAGCTACAAAAATCGTCAAAGTTACCGCTTGCAAATGGCGGGATTGGACCCGCCGGTGACGAACGGTCGCCGCCCCTCCGTAGAACCCGGCCCTAACTCACAGGGACTGGGGGGTTTCGGCAGCTGGGGGACTGGTGGTCTTAGCTTTCGATACACAGGCACATCCTGACGTGCCAGCAGCCTGATGCGGATACAGTTCAAAAGAAAGCAGTCCCCTAAAACATACAGGGACCCAGTCTGCCTCAATGGTTATATCAATGAGCAATTCAGTATTTCAAAATCTGTACGTGGGTTCAAACCCCAACCCGACCACTGCAACCGAACTTCGAATACTTACTAATATATATATAGTGTGTGTGTGTGCGGACGGGCGTGTGCGGGTGTGTGTGGGTGGGTGGGTGTGTGTGGGTGCGGGCGGGCGTG